ATCTGTGAAGAGGTATTTGGCAAAAAACAACATTCCAGTGATGGAACATCCACCGTATTCTCCGGACCTAGCACCGTGCGACTTTTTTCTCTTCCCAAAAATCAAGTCTGCGCTGAAAGGGACCAGGTTCGAGTCCGTGGATGCAGTGAAAGCAAAAGCGACGCAACTCTTGAAGAGCATAACACAAGATGACCTGCAGCACTGCTTCCAACAGTGGAAAATTCGCATGGAGCGGTGTAGGGATCGGGGAGGGGACTACATTGAAGGGGATAATATTTCGACTGTCTGATTCTTTTTTAATAAAGGGTTAGAGCATGAATCCGGTTTCTTTATTGCCACACAAATGGCTTTGAAATTTCAGCACCACAAAGTCCCACTCATTACTCTCCTGCGGGAAATGGTGACGTGCTCTACTATATAGTTGTGCACAAGAATGTCCGGTTGACAGAAGTCATCATCTCTGATATTCTTGACTCAGATCGCCTACCAATCGTTTTCCACTTTCTGGATCATGTTAGAACTTAGATTCTTTCGGAGCCGGTTGACAAATTCACAGATCTGAAGCGGTTTCAAAGCTTGGCCTCTGAATTAATTTTACCTAGTATCCAAATTAACTCGGAAGAACAAGCCGATAAAGCGGTCCGCGACTTTACTGCCTCCATAGCTTCGGAGTATAGGCTACCGGCCAGCATAATTACTCTCTCGGACCTTAATAAGGATATACCTGGTCTGGAATTTTTCCTGAAACATAAGCGGAGGTTAAGGAAACTGTGGCAAGTAACTCAGGATCCAGCATGTAAAACGGCACTCAATTGGGTCGCCAATCCCAATATCCCCTTTGTCAATCATGTAAAATATGTACCTGGATGTAATCTTCGATGAGAGGATTACGTGGAGACTTCACATAGAAATTACTGAAGCCAAGGCCTTCAGAACCTTTATTAGAATCTACTCCCTATTCAAAAGTGAGCCTTTAAACGCAAACATTAAACTAACCCTCTGCAAGGCACTGATCAAATAAGTAATGACTTATGCGTGTCCCGCCTGGGAATTAGCGACAGCCACCTACCTCCTAAAATTGCAGCGCATGCAAAACAAGGTTTTGCACACCACTGGAAATTTTACAAGGTGCACACCAGTCCGCGAATTGCACACAGCTTTCAACTTACCGTATGTATACGATTATATAACCAAAGTGTGCAGAAGACAAGCAGAAGCCATACAAAATCATGAGAATGAACATGTTCGCGGTATAGGACAAGGTGAAGCCAGACACAGAAAATACAAGAGACTTCAACTTGGCGGTGGTCAAGCTTAAGACCGTTCAAATGACTAAGTTGTCGTTGTAGCATAAGACATGTAAGTTAGGCATGATCTGCTCTGTAAAGCCTGTACTGACAGAGGACTTGTGTAGTGGAAAAGGGAGAATTTTCGATAACTTGTTATATGTGTGAACTATACACTTGACGGAAGGTCAAGTGTATTCATATGAGACAAACTCATCTCCTCGTCAGAGAGGATGTTACATAAGGACTATTACCGCAAGAGTTCAGTTGGGGAAAAAAAATCTCTGGCCTTGGGCCTCGAGGGGTAAACCGCCAGTCGTAATGTAACTCTGCCTCTCTGACCCTGCCCAAGTAATATTCGGGAGTATTTGAGAGTGTTTAAGTGACAGACACTTGAATTTATTCGTGTGAAGACTTGGCATGTGATTGGAAGACTTGAATTATGTGTAATATTTTCAGTTATTTGAAATGACGGTTTCTGTGAAGAGATCCGTTGCTAGGAGATGACTAGTGGAAAACAGAGAATCCTAGTGCGTGCGCAACACTGAACAGTAAAGTGTGTATTTCAGCGATAGCGCTGTATTGGATGCATTTAAGTGTGATTAAGAGTGTGTGTGTGTGTGTGTGTGTAACAGAGCTGTTAATAAATCCAATCATCCGAACAATAAATGGCAATTTCGTCACGCGTCATGTGACAATTTTTGATACAGGTGTATAGCTGCAACTGAAATTTTTTCTGGCATGTATAAAAGATTCTAAGGGAATGAATTGTATCAACTCAACTAAGTTGATAACGTCTGAAGAAGAGTTGTCACAAGACCGCAGTTTATAAACATATTCTCACTAAGAATGCTGTATTACACTTCCTTGTACAAGGTAAGTTTTATTTATTTATTTATTTAGTTGATCAGCAATCAGGATATACATTCTATAAGCTAATGTTATGGCTGTTTAGATGACTTGATGAGGAGGCGTCCAGCGGCGAATCCTCAGTAATTCAAATCAGGTCAATTGGCCAGTTTCGTTTGAGTCGTCTGATATTTTCTCTTGTCGATAGCGTCTTTATGAGTGGGGTTTTGTGAGTTATGATTTTGTTGTGTCTGTTGCTTTTTTGTTGGATGACGTCTTGTACTGGAGTTATACCGAGATCGGAGTGGAGAGTTGCGTTGGAGACATACCGTGGTGCGTCGACTATCATTCATAGGATCTTAGATTGGCTTCTTTGGATTACTGATGTATTGGATTTGCTGGCGCAGCCCCATAGTTCCAGGCCGTGCGTCCAAACAGGTTTGATTATAGTCTTATAGATCAGAATTTTATTTTCGACTGTTAGCTTTGATTTTTTGTCTATTAGCCAGTTTAGCTGTTTAATGGTTAATTCTACTTGCTTTCGTTTCTTGACTACATGCTGCTACCATGTTAATTTGCTGTCTATAGTCATACCTAGGTATTTTATTTCTACTTTGCGTGGTATTTGGATATCATTGATGTATATGTCAGGTGTCGGCTTTTTCCGTAAGGAGAAAGTTATGTAGCAAGACTTGTTTTCATTTATTCTGATACGCCACTTCTCGAATAAGTTTTGTAATGATCTAAGGTGATGCTGAAGGTCTGTTGCTGCTCTTTCTGGGTCTTTGTTGACTGACAGTATAGCTATATCATCGGCAAATGTTCCAAGAGTTATATTTGGGGAAGTAGATAGATCAGATGTAAATAAGGTGTATAAAGTTGGACCAAGGACACTGCCCTGTGGCACGCCTGCTTCTATCGGCTGTGGTTCAGATTTTGCATTTCCCACTCTTATTTGGAACTGTCGGTCACTTGAGTAGGCTTTAAGAAGATTAAAATATGATGGTGGAAAGATTTGTTTGACCTTGTATAGCAGACTACTACGCCACACCCTGTCGAAGGCCTGGCTGAGGTCGAAGAACACTGCTGTACAGTAGTTTCTGTCGTCTAAGGCTTTGTTGATAATATTTGTTATTCGATGAATCTACTGTATGGTAGAGTGGCCTTGACGAAATCCAAACTGGTGGTGTGGAATCCACTCTTCTGGCGTCAAGTCTTTGTTTATTCTTCTAAGTATAAGTAGAAGGTAAGTGACTGTGTAAATCAAGCAGACGACCCTGCCTGGAGTCCTTCAAGTAAAACGGTGCGTTGTAAGGCAACTTGTTATACAAAAAATCAAATGTTACGTAACTTCGAACAAGGCCCAGAGCGCCAAGAGTAACCTTGAATGTGCAGAAGAAACATTTCAGACAAGGGGGGGGGGTTGCGGGAATGCGGGGAATGCGTGGCCATGTTCGAAGTTACGTGACACCGTCTCTGCCGCGTTTAATAAAAGTCCGAAAATTCATTACCAAATATTTCTCCCTAGTGAATTAACATACGCGTGGATGAATTAACCGGTAATTATTATGTATGAATCGATGGGGAGTGACCACACGAGGGTATTCTCCAAATCAACCGATCGTGAAAGGACCCCTCCCAAAAGATCCCAAACAACTGTTCGCGTAAATTTAGCGTCCGATGTAAAGATAATATTGCCGTGTTTATATTGTTATTTTCAAAATTTTGCTTGTGTTTTTAACCATCTTATTATTGTCACATATAGGGGGTACGCGTGACGAAATGACGGGTTCTAGTTCGGATGATTGGATTTATTATTAACAGCTTGGTTACACATTCTTTTAATTACACTCAAATTACAGCGTTGTCGCTGATTTACATACTTCATAATCCACTGTTACACGCACACTAGTCCTCTGAACACAGAAACTAGCGCTTCAAATCACTCCAAGTATTACAAATAATTAAGTCTTCCGATCACGTGCCAAGGCTTCACACGACGAACCACCAGTGGCTGTCACTTAAAACTCTCTCACTGTAATTTAAACACTCTCAAACACAGTCAAATTCTCCATCTGGAGCTCGAAGAGTGAAGATGTGAATATATAAGCTGGTGATTCGTTACAAGAATATGCCTGGAAAAATCATTGTACATGTGTAACCATTGCTGATAGCGATAACCTAGCAACGAATAGTGAAAGCTGACTGAGAAGACTTAGTGTCGTGTTAGAATATAAAAATTAGTTTTGTTTTCTGGAAGGTCGCGGTTTCAAGTCCCGATGAGGTCATTGGATTTTTTCAATTGACCTAATCCTTCAAGCCGCGTTATGGCCCTNAACTCAATGTGACCACATCAGAATCCTATCGGAAATTAATCAGACAGCTCCAGCAAGAAAAAATATTACATTATACATACCAGATCAGAGAAGAGAGGACCTATAGAGTGGTGATACGAAATCTACATCACTCACTAACCACGGATGAAATAAAAGAGGAACTAGAAAAACAAGGTCACACTGTCCGCAATACTCGTAGTAGAATAATTAGCTTGTGGATCTTAGAATGTAATATTTCGCCTCCCGCTTGAATAAGTTCTGCTAGAATCTGATCACTACCTGGCGATTTATACCGTGCCAATATTGCAATAGCACTTTCAAACTTATAAGGGCTAGGATCAGGTACTAACGGCTCTGCTGTATGGATTTCTGTCTACCTGACATCACTGACCCTATGTATTCGTATTTTAATAACTGAGAGAAGAAGTTTCCTCCACCTATTCAAAATGTTGTGGGAATCCTGCAAGCTGATCATCGTTTTCATCCTCCACTAAGTTACTTATAGGTTGTTAACCCTCTTAAAGTCAGTTATTCCTCTATACAGGTCTCTAATGTTCTTGTTCTTACTGTTCATTGCAAGCTCATCAAATTTGTCTTTCGGATATTCCCTCTTTTTGTTCCTGAAATTCCTGCTGGTTTCACGTCTTATATTTTCAGATTATCCCCATTTAACTTGCTTGGATCCTGTAACCATTGAAATTTGGCCTGCTTTCTTTGATATAATAATTTTGAGCATTCTTCATCGAACCATGGCTTATGCTTCTTCGGTTCATAATAACCTAAACTCTCTTTGGCAGACATTTTTATATTCTCTCTAATAATTTTCCAAGCTTTATTAACATCCACATCAGTGTCCAAGTTTTCCAAAGCCGCGAACATGTTTGAGATTTCAGCACGATACTGCTCTTTACCCTCTACCTCATTTAATTTACTGAGATTGAACCTCTCCATATGAACTCTGTGCGTTGTTTGTTTGCTCACTGCCAGTCCCTCCCTAACCTTTGCCACCCCCAGGTAGTGGTCAGTATCACAATCTGCTGCCCTGAATGATCGGACATCAAGTATACTTGAATGCCGTCTCCTATATATTAAAATATAGTCTATTTGACTGTGTATCTTCCCATCGGGAGATGTCCAAGTAAATTTATGGATGTTACGATGTGGGAAAATTGTACTTTTGACAGTAAGATTTTTTGATATGGCAAAGTTTACTATTCCAACTCCATTATCATTACTAATTTCATGCAAACTCTCATTCCAAATTGTTGCTTTGAAAATATGTTCCCTCCCTACTTTGGCTTTGAAATCTCCCAACAAAATTTTCATAGGATACTTCAGGAATTTATCAAATACATGTTCTAGTTCTTCATAGAATCTATCCTTATANCTGGCTACAGGGAACTGAATTTTGAATTTTAAATCTTAATTTTTGACATTGGTATTTTTAACTTGTATTTTATAAGAAGAGCTTTTTAACTTATATATTTTTAACTTATATGGTATAAGAAGAACTATACATATTATTTGAGCGTGAATCTGAACAGGATACAGGATGGAAATTAGTGGAGAAAGGAAGTGATTGCGTGTGATTGTGAAATTGTGTTCGTACACCTGATGATGACCTCCTGAGGTCGAAACATGTAGTGTGGCAGTAAATATAAAAAACGTGTTGTGTGGTCGGTAGATTAACTTTAACATTCGTCTAGTACACAACAGGATGCAAGGAACAATAAAAGGGAAAAAAAAAATTATCTTCTGTTGGGACGTGAACATTCATAACGAAGATTTCGCACCAGCGACCTTATAGTATTGTAGCGTGTTTGGGTATGTCACGCTACAAATAACTTTACGCCGTATTAAATATATCGAATCTTTATTGCGATTCACTTGCAAAATCACACGCTTTACAATCGTTATCACTTGCAGTATGACAATTACTGCTTACACAACATCTCGGCCAATACTTCTGTAGCTCTTTGTATCTGCCCCGAGACTGACTCCTTCGGCGGCTATTCCAGACTGTGTTCTGTATCTGTCGGCATCTATCGCAAGACTCTGTTCGTTGCAATCTGTGCCCTAATGCGACGAAGCTTTTGCAATGCTGTGAGCAAGTTTATCTGTCGTTGTGCCTCTAACTTCTTGCGGGTAACCTCTGCCAGAACCTGATCTGCTTCATGCTTCAGACTCTCTTCCCTCTTTGCATCTTCAACACCTTCCTGCATATTTTTACGCCAGGTGTCAATTTTTTATGTAGTTGCTGTCTTCTGGTATGCGACTGTCTCACAGCTTCCTTACGAGTATGTGCAGCACGCTGTCTTCTCTGCCCAGACGCTTCTCGCTGCGTTTCAGCAGTGTTAACCTCAGAGCATCTAAAGTTTCAGGATTATGCATTTTGTCCAGATGGTTACTTACCTGAGCCTGAACTTTCTTCACATGATCCCATTTTTCTCTCCAACAAGGAGCACTCAGATCATAACATTTCATTCATAGTTCTTGCTGTAAACTGTACAATGCATCTAAACTGGTTATGCATAACTGTAACATGCATCTGGCTTCAAACAGCTTCAGTGGTACAGCTGGCTGTTTCTGATATGAATTGGTGTGAGTTATGCCCGCCCTTTTCTTACTTCACCTGTTTCCGTCTAGAGCTTCTCGAGAATCACTGTTAGGTGCCCTCTCTTCTCTCACAGT